TAAAAATTATAAAAATTATTATAAAATTTTTTTTAAATTATTTTTGTCTCAGATTAATGAATTATAGACAATATGTCAAATATAGATAATTTCAAATATCTGAAATGAATTCAAATACAAAATAATAAAATAAATTGCTCATATTTATAAATATAAATAATATATCTTTAAATTTTATTTGAACTTATTATAACTTATTACTTTTTCAAGAATTCTAATAAAACATTTATATGTGATAATTAATATCCACATCATGCATTTAAATACTATAAATATGAGCACAATTAACCTTTATTAACTTTTTTATTAAGGTCAGCTGAAAATATCATTAGAAACACCAACTAATAATTATTACTATATTTACATCTACATGCAATTTTACATTGATGTTATAATTCAGTATTGCTATTAAAAAATATATTTTTCAGTAAAAATATAAATATACGTAGCATGCCTTTTGATAAATATTAAGATTAAAAAAAGAAGTGAAAGTTAAACATTTGCAGAAATCAGGAAATTTTATGAATAGAAATTGCTTAGAAATAAATAATTATTGCTTTTTATATTTTAATATAAATTGAGATGTATATAATAATTTTATTTTGTCAGCAAAGCACATAAACACAATATTATGAAACACAGTAGCAATAAAACGTACTTCAACATTTTTTTTTTCATGTAAGCAATTAGTGCAAAAAACGTTGAAGTTTAGCATATTTTTTAATTATGAAAAACATTTTTGCAACAATATCATGAAAATTTTTTATTAATAATATTAATTCGAAAAACAAACTATTGCTTGTACACGTCAATCTGATGACTCATGCGCACTTTCTGGAAATTATTTCAATCGATAATCACATTCGTGCGCCGAATATGAGATGAATTTATTTACCTCTTTTAGAAAACGTTTAAGATCCTTAAACGGAGCAACTGTTTAATGTGATGAATAATTTAACTAGATTATGTCAATTTTGTTAACTTATGCAGTACGAGTTATACATGCAGTTATATCTACAATGTTACAAAAATGTCACACTCCCCACTTATCAACTTTTGACTGCATCTCGTACGAGCAACTGATATGAAGTAAGTTGGCTATTGGAAAGCGACGATTTAATACAATTTGCGCTTGCGTAATACGTTTTTCACTATGCTGTTTATTATTAAACAAGATATGCATCTTTGTAATATGTATTCATGTGTGTATATATATACACATACACATATGCGCGCGCGCGTGCACATATATCTAATCAATTTCTTAGAAAAATGTGTAATGTATTTTTTGATTTTGAAAAATGATCGTCTGCAATCTTTAGATTTTAATCTAAAAATATTTAATTTTTCATTGCATAATTATTTTAAATTTATTTTCTATAAATTAATTTTAATATTATTATAATATTTATATATGTGATATATTAATATTATTAATATAAAATATAATAAATTAGTATAATGTATCTTTATAATGAAGGAAGAAAGCAACAAAGTTCTAAAATATAATTTTTATAAAATAATAATATTCAATTATAAGATTTCATATCACATATATAAATATATTTATATTTTTATTAAAAATTTTAATTGCTTCAAAAATTAATTAAAATAGTATGTATTACAAATGTGAAAA